TAGTGGTAATGTGTGTACAAAAGCTCAGTCCTGTAGTTCAAACGATTCCTAAGATATTGGCGAAAAACTAAAAAAAAATTAAAGTTTTGAACCGTGTATCTCGAAAACGAAAGCCCGGAGAGAAAAATGGAAGAGGAAAAATGTATTTCTTTTTTCAAGAGGAATTTACATTTTTCCGTTGCGACACTTATTTAGGAACACCCTGTATAAGGATGTGCCATTTAACACTCCCGCTGCCAATATCTCGGAAATGAAGAAATTTATTTTAGTTCCGGAAACTGGGGTTGTTAGGTCTCTTGAATAGCTTCAAATTGTAGTTAGAACTATTAGTTCAAACCTTTCTGTATATAAAATTTTTGATTCCTGGAACGTGGAAATTTTGAGTAATTTTTTAATATAAAGATTTCCCAATTTCCCCAAATTTACTTGTTTTTGAGACATGTCGACTTCAATATGCAATGTAGGATTGTAGATATGATGTAACAGGAAAATCTATTATTTTATCTAAATCACACCAAGACAAAATATTCTTTTAAAGTATTGTTATAATGACTTTATTTTAAAAAATATTTCTGTTCATGAAGAATCAAATTCAATTTCGGGAAATCTTAAACCTACATATGAGATTTGTACGTATTAGTTGCTAACAAATCGGAGGAACTAATAAAATCTATAATAAAAATTCTTCTGTTTATGACAGCTTAGAATAAATTAAATATATATTTACTGAAATTTTCAGAAATATAAAAAATGTATCTAATTGTTTTAAAATCATAAATGTGTTTAACTCATTCAACTTCCACAGGATGTCTGAAAGTGAATTGCCATACTATAAGGGTAGCTTTCTTGGATGGGAATAAACCGATTAAGATCAAGTTACATTATTACAATTTTATTATGGGACATAAACATTTTTTTAAATTTTTCGATATTTTTTGTAAAGTGCAAATATTTTTGAAACTGCTTTATGTACAGAAAAAAGATATAGTTCTTAATATGGTTAAACTGCACCATTCCAAAAATAAATAAATAAATAAATTTCAATTTTACATATCAGTTTCTGAAAACCAAGTATTTGAGAGGATTTTAGATCTATTAAACTCCATTTTTTTGCTAAATTTGCAACTAAATTAAATAATTTTTATAATTTAGACACTTTATCCTTATTCAAAAGTCCACGCCTTCTGGGATATTATAACCCTATGAATTTAATTTTGTATATTATATTCAAGTCTATGTAAACTTTGACTTCGAGCCCTAGGTTGGTCGAAATCATATAAAATATTTAATCAAGTTGCAAATTTAGCAAAATAGTGAAGTTTTAATCACATTACATTACTTCCAAAAGCTTGGCTGTCCGTAAATAATGACAAGTAACCAAATTGAAATAAGTTTTTCTTTGGAACAGTATAATGATAATAATAATAATAATAATCTTTATTATGCTTATAAGATATTACAGAATAATATATAGCATTAGTCGACACTTGGAGATAGAACACCTAGAAACTAAAGAAAGAACAAAAGAAAAAAAAACATTTACAAACTTACAAAGAAAAGAACTAACCTAGCAAAAGTATTCGGACATAGAATAAAAACATTTAACTGACAAATACATTTTTAATTTTCGTTTGAACTAGCCAACTTTTTTGTACTCTTATTTCATATTGCAAATGATTAAATATCTTGGGTCCTAAGTAATTTAGCCCTTTCCCTACAATTGATAATTTTGTGAAAGGTTTCATTATTTTATCAGGTATTAATATTGTGAACATCATTATTCAAACAAAATTTATCTACATTTTTAAAAACATGCAACAAACATCTTTTTTCTTAAAATATCTGTTTTCTCAAAAATTTTGTACCAGCAAAATAAAATATGAGAAAATAAACAAGAACTTTTTAAGGTGGCACTTGTACTAAGGCTATTGGATCTAAATTGATTTATTTTCACCTAATTTATTTTTACATTTAAAGTATGACCTATTTTGTTTCCAGACACCCTGTACAAATCATTATGGTTTAACGTACCATAAACTTTATAAATATAGTTCTGGAAAATCAGTCTCACCAACCAAAATTAAGATTTTAGATATTTTAATGGAAAATATTGCCAAGTTTCTTTAAAAGAATATGTCCCTCTTTAAATTTAATGCACATATTTTTATAACTTGGTTGCACTATGTACTCTGTCATTTTGTATGTGTAACAGCTTGAAACGCCTTTTCAAGATGTAATGACATATAAACTACTGTTCTAAACAAATTAAAATCGCTAGTCAAAGAATTCCTGAATTAAGAAATGACAGAAAAAATATTTTTAATTATGCGAAAAATATTACTGGACTACCAAGTAAACAGGGAAATGTTGCGACAAATTAGAAATATTTTCGAGCTATAAAACGCAGTACTACGACATTATATACTGCATTTCACTTCAACTAAGTACATACCTACTCATTTTGGGAATTTATATGATATAAATTATCTTGCTTTGGTAGAATCCTCAAAATTTCCCGAATATGCAAACAAAATTTCCCAAATATCATTTGAATGTTTATTATAAATGTATCCAAACGTTTTTGAAATAGGCTGAAAAACGAACTTAATATTTTGTACAGAGTCAAACAATTTAATAATTTAGAAGTTCAAAAAATTGTAGAAATATACAAATTGTTTTGCCTAGTTTAAACAATTCCTGCAACAAGTAGAAAGAAACTTTTCCTGTCTTAAGCGCATTAAGACTTGCTTAAGAAATACAATAACACAAGAGCGCTTAAACAACTTATCAGTGATGGCGATAGAAAAAGAACTATTGCAAATTCTTAGTGCCGATCCCCAATTTTATGAAGACATTGTAATAATTTAAAAAACCGACAAATAGAAATGTTTTATAAAAACATTTACTATGTTTTTAAAATATTTTGTTAAAAGTGGAGAAAAACAAAAAGCTGGCGGCGTTGTTTTATATGTAAATAGATAAGTTGGCTGGCTACCTTATAAAAATTCATTTTTATGTTTTTTCATATTTTTTAATATTTTAAACCAAGTAGGAACAATTTTTTTTAATTATGTCATTTTGTTTTTTTTTCTCAATTAATGTTATTGTAAATAAAATTTTTAAAGTTCTGATATTATTAATAATGCAATAATAAGATAATGTTTATTTATGGATATAGTAGAGCTATTGGCGATGACCTCCATAATAAAAAATTACGTGGAAATTTATTCCTATTTATTATTTAATAAAATAACCAAATATTTCAATTTTTTTATACAATTTGAATGAAAATCCTTCTTGTGAACATCAGTTTTTCTATAATGCTGTAAATGCAACTAAAAATTTTCAGATTAATTTGATCATTTGACCTTGCAAATTTAAAAATTGCAACACTTTTCTCACCTATTCACAATGTCAGGAGCGGTAACAGCAATAGGTACTAATAGAATGTGACTGCCATGTGGCCCTTGATACTAAACAAGTTTGACATGTCTATTAACCTCTGCCGGACAATAATCACTTGCAGTATGAGCATGTTCTTATAAAGGCATATGTATTTGCTTATGTTAAATAATTTAAGTAAATATAGGAAAACTATTAGTTATATTAAATAAAAAAAAAATGTAAATGTTAGTATCAACTTATGTGTTATATATTGATTAAATATTGCAATCTTCCACCGATATAATTGCACAGATGATACAGTAAGACCCCGCTTAACGCGTAGGATACGTTCCATCAAAGTAGAGCATAATGCGAAACAGCGCTAAACGAGGCTATCTTAACATGTAAATAATGGGCTTAGGGGAAGATGGATAGAAAATTGGCTAGGTATTAAATTTAATAATTATGTTTTTTTTAATAAAAATAAAACCAAACATTTATT